AAATATCAAAGAAATAATTGGATAGTTCCCCAAAGAGACCAGCTGAAGATAATCGGGCGGTGGGCGGAGAGTCGAGAATAAGCTTGAGAAAGCTTGAAAGGTTGATCTTCGCCACTGACAATTTGTTGGGATGAACGGTATCTCACGCGTAGCCCCCAAGAAAGGTATATCAATTTTCAATCATCATCCTTGTACACATTGATTGTGACGTACTCGAGTTGTTATGCTACCTGTGCTTGGGGGGACGAATGGCTGACCTCAGACCGCTCGATATTTAGGGGAGAACTATGAACTACGTGCAGATCTGAACTCGGAATACAGAGATAGGAGAAAGGATGCCATCAAGAGAGTCATCGCCAATATGACGGTTGGAAAGGTACACGCCGCTGTCCATTGCAAACGTTGCAGCAGTCTTCTGACTGGTCGGTTTCAAAGGATGTATCTGGTCTTTTCCCAGATGTGCTCAAGAACATGCAAACGGAAGACTTGGAACAGAAGAAGCTTGTATTATACCGCCCCCAACGACGACCCCGACGACCCAATCAGCCCAATAGGCAGCTCCAACTACAGATCCTACCAATTGCCATCACACAACCACTCTCAACCTTCAATGAGTGCACAACTCCGAGCAAACCGCGCGGCACTCTGTCCGTTTGCTGACGAATCTAAAAGCCATCCAGGCATATTGAGTGAACGCCCGAAGCCATCTCAATTGACCTACCATTTGTAGACGTCGACCCCTCCGTGGCAGTCCCAGGCTGGGCAATGGTACAGTTAGCTTTGACTAGAATCTACCGGATAATTCCTACCTGTTATAATAGGTCGGGCCCTCTCCACCTCCAAAGATAAAAATTCGTTTACCATCGACCAAGGTTGCGGTGTGTGCTCGACAGGGCGGTGGTATATCGCCGGTGAGAGGAGGGTGACTCCATTGAAAGGTTTCTGGAATGGAAAGCGTTGATACGGTGGGGTTTCCTTATAGATATCAATACTAACCAATGTCACAACACCATACATCTCGAGCGCACCCCCGTTCATCACATCCTCCGAAAA